GCTGTAATTTCTCTTATGGAGAAAGTGTCTGAGATTTTTGCTCATCTGGGAAATCCCAATTTGGAAAAGTTTTCCCTTAACGTTTTGACATATAATTTTAAAAGAATAAGGCAAATGCTTCTTAGCATCTTCTGTTCTCTTTAGTAGTTTGCTTGTAATTTTCACCATTACAACACACTGTTGAAGAAATTTTAAAAATCAATTTATGGAAAGGAGTTGCTACCATACAGTCAGAGCCAGTCAAAAAACAGAAAAATAACTGGGAAAACATTCAAAATTTTGAAATTGGTTCTGTTTTTCAGGGGTAAAAATGAACCCATTTTTCACCTTTTGTGGAATTTTCCATATTTTTGATTGAAATCATCACTGAAACTGTTGAAGAAATTTTTCATTTACTCAAAACCGTCAATTTTTTACTACAAACCGCGTCTTCAGTAAATTACTTTTTTTTAAATCGAAAATTTCAATAACGTCCATTTTGGGTGGGAAATTTTTTGGGGGGGGAAGGGGGAATGGATTAAGTCCATTTTTCATCAATAAAACTTAATTTGGAAAATTTCAACCAGATCTCTGGATAAGGGATACTTACAATTGCAAATGTCAGGTTCAATTTAAATCCTTCATTTTATAACGTATAAATCCAAATTCTGGAGTGGACTGGAGTGATTTCTGATCGCTCTGTATTCTCCTGTCCCCTACAAAGCAGGCCCAGCTGCAATCTGAATTGATATCTGGTGGTTCAGTAATTTCTGAGCAAGACCATCCTTATCAATAGTTGCTAAGGGACCTAACCCTCTTTCTCAAAGAAACAAATCCTGCTCCTTTCTGAGTGTGGTTCCATTGATTTCAATGGGGCTGTTCTCACAAATGAGGTATGATTTAGTCCTATTTCATTATAGAAAAAGGGAAACAAATCAAACCAATTGCTAACTTTTTAGAGCTCAGGGCTATCATTCTTGCTCACTGGGCTCAGTGGGAGTATTGCCCAAGTAAGAACGACTGCATCAGGGCCAAAGGGTCTCTTCAGCAATATCATTTTAAACACAGTTAGTTACAGTTTGCCTATTGACAGCCCTTCAAATCAATGGGGTCTGAAAAGTGGGATTGAGGGGGGGAGGGTGAAACAACTGGGGAAAGTCAAAATCCAAGTTTATAATAATGAGAAGCTAGGTACAACCTTAACTATGTAACAGGTTTCAGAGTAGCAGCCGTGTTAGTCTGTATCCACAAAAAGAACAGGAGTACTTGTGGCACCTTAGGGCTGGTCTACACTAACCCCCCAATTCGAACTAAGATACGCAACTTCAGCTACGTGAATAACGTAGCTGAAGTCGACGTACCTTAGTTCGAACTTACTGCGGTCCAGACGCAGCAGGCAGGCTCCCCCGTCGACTCCACGTACTCCTCTCGCCGAGCAGGAGTACCGGAGTCGACGGCGAGCACTTCTGGGTTCGATTTATCACGTCCAGACAAGACGCGATAAATCGAACCCAGAAGTTCGATTGCTTGCCGCCGAACCAGCGGGTAAGTATAGACGTACCCTTAGAGACTAACAAATTTATTTGAGCATAAGTGGATTGCCATACCAATTCTATTAATAGCTCATCTTAATTAATTAGCTCTTAGAATTGGTATGGCAACTTCCACCTTTTCATGTTCTCTGTTTGTATATATGTCTTCTTAATATATGTTCCATTCTATGAATCTGATGAAGTGGGCTGTAGCCCACGAAAGCTTATGCTCAGATAAATTTGTTAGTCTCTAAAGTGCCACAAGTACTCCTTAACTATGTAGTGACACTAATAGCATCATTATCCAGTCACTGGGTCAGGTATATAAACTAGATTGATCATGTCACACTTTTAATTAGCAGGAATTAGACTCGGTAAACAATATGACTGACTCTGTTAATTTTAAGTTAGTTTAACAAAAAATAAGGTCTAACTTAATACTCTTAAATAGTAATCAGTGAACAATTTAACTTAAGCAGTGAAATATTTGTAACACGGTAACAAGTTTTGCTTTGGGTTTTTATTTAACTTTACATGCCAGCAAGATAGTAGAACAGCATAAAACATACTAGTAAGGTAACTTTATCTAGACGTCGTAATACAGAATCTACTATAGCTGTCTGTAGTCTCACAGATGTTTCAAACTTGAGAAGAATAAGGTAAAAATACAACTTTCAGTGTACCAACAGATCTAAAATTTAGTAATCCTAGTGCTAAGCACTCTACATATTATTCATAAAGCAAAAAGTGTCAGTAATAAACACAGCAAAAAATATCTCTAGGCCAATTAACCATCACACAAGGAAAATATATTGATATTTCTTCTGGGTATTTCCTGCACTAATACTTCAGGCCCACAAAATTTCCTTCGATGCAGTCACACATCACTGGAAAGATCAGTGTGTTAGAGGTTCATTTGGTACCTTCTCCTGATACACAAGTTAAACATTGGTGAGACAGCTCCTGCTGAGGAACAAGGAAAGAGTCCAGCTGTTAAATAGTTATTTTGCCTTTGGGAATAAAGGTCTGAACAAGCCCGAGATCAATTTTTCAGTGGGAGCTACAGCAAATAGTGTGCGGGAAGCAAAACTGGTTCTAAAAAGAATAGATGCTGTGAAAAGGAGACCAAGCATAGGGTCTAGGAAACACACATCCGTGAGTTTTAAAAGACTTGATCAAGGAAATCCATGAACCCTCACTAACCGTTTCATTAGGATGAGATTCCTAAAGACTGCAAGGTTGGAAATAAAGTGTTGAAGGACTCAAGGGACAAACTAGAAACTACAAAGCAGTGAATTAAACTGCATTAACGATGGGAACCCTTGGAAAGTATCTTGAGGGATGTGGTTGGAGAAGACCTTCTTTTGCTGAACAGTAGCTAACATGGAGTCATGCAGGAAGGGAGCCAAACTCACCTAACTTGCTGATGTGCTTTGATGATACTACTGCTATGGTAGGGGATATTCTGAGGATAAATAGTACTAGGATAGTCTATGAGCTTTTGAGAAAGTTCCATATCAGATTAGAGAAAGAGTTAAGATAAGGTTAGAAACTGGAGGTGGAGTAAATATGGCGCTGAATAGAAAACCGGGACAAAGGGAAAAACTCACTCAGTGGGACTTCATATAGTTACACATGGAATGAACTTGATCCAGAGCATAGCTATAAATGATTTTTTTTCTATTTAATTCATAGATTTTTAAGGCCATAAGGGACCATTCGCTCATCTTGTCTGATCTTCTGAGTAACACAGGCCATAGAACTTCACCCAGTTACTTTTGTACTGAGTCTAATAACTTACGTTTCATTAAAGCGTATCTTCCAGAAACTTGAAGAGTGTTAATGAAGGGGACGGGTGGGGAGACAGAAAACAATTTTCATACCTTGATAGGCCTTTAGGTCGCCACTGGTAAATGTTCTGACTGCAAGCTCTGCAGGGCAGGGACTGTGTTTTATTCCAGGACATGGAATGCTCCAGGTACACTTGCAGCACTCGCTAAGAGTACATCTACGCTGCAGGTAGGAACCTGCTTCCCAGCTTAGGTAGACAGACACATGCTAGCTCTGCTTGAGCTAGCATGCTAAAAATAGCAGTCTAGCCAGGGATAGCTCTGGCTAGCCACCCAAGGATATACGCAGAGTGTCTGGGTGGGGTTGCACTCAGGTGGCTATCCCAAGCTGGTGCCTTTACTCCCCCCAGCTACACTACTATTTGTAGTGTGCTAACTTGAGCAGAGCTAGTATGTGTCCATCTACCCGAGCTGGGAGCACGTTAATGTATCCCGAATGTTCACTATGTGCATACAATTTGGCAAAAGGACTGAAGCCGAGATCTCCACGTTTGTGATAATACTAAAGAGAGAGAAAGATAGAAGGCACAGATATCAAGGAAGAATGTAAATGGACTCCGAAGCGTTTGGGATCATTACTGTGTATTCAGATGGGAGATGTAGTACAATGTAAGACAAATGTAGACCTATCTTGTAGTAAAGAACCAAATTGGGGAATGTGGCTCTAATCTAGCAAAGTGTTTAAGCATGTGTTTACTTTAAGAACCTGAGTAGTCCTGTTGAAATCAACAGTAATACACATGCTTAATGTTATGTACATGCTTATGTGCTTTGCTGGATTGGGATCTATGTGATGAATGAGGTAGTCTTCTAGCACATTGACAGGGCCGGCTCCAGGCACCAGCTAAGGGAGCAGGTGCTTTGGGCGGGAATTTGGTGGCCGGTCCCTCAGTCCCTCTCTTCCTCTTTGAGCTGCTGCCGAAGTGCCACCAAAGAGGAAGAGATGGAGTGAAGGACCTACCGCCGAACTGCCACCGAAGAGAGTGGCTTCCGTGGCTTTTTTCTTTTTCTTTTTTCGCTGTTTGGGGTGGCAGAAAACCTGGAGCCGGCCCTGCACATTGATCAGGGAAAGTCTGTGAGGATTGTTGTGGAAACCTCTTGGAAAACATCAGCTAAGTACATGCTACACACAGGAAAGTTAAAGAAATCAGGGTAGTTTTAGCAGATGGAGACTACAAAGTGTCACCGTTCTTGGATACGGACATCAGTGCGTGTTAAATGACACTGATTGACTTCAATAAGAATTGTGAGTGATTAGCACCTCTAAGGAGCAGTACACTAGTCAGCCATGAAGCTGCAAATAAGATCCAAGATTAATGCTGCAGACAGCTAAATTCTTAAGGACTTGGTGGTGCAAGATATAAATAAGCCAAATAAATGGATGGTTTTTCCAAACAGTGTGATCCACTTTACTGACATTCTATTAAAAACTACAGATTGACCATGCTTATTATAAAAGATTTGTACTGATTAATACACCAAACCAGAATTAGACCCTCTATCTTTGCTTGTTTGTCAGACAACTTTCAGGATGATGATAACTGTTGTTTTTGTCTTTTCTTTTGTTTCAGGATCCACAACAACTATTTTATTTATTTTCTTACATGGTCTAAAACAACCTGACAAATCCTCTGCTACCATGAAGACTTTGCTTAAATTACAGATTCTCAAATCCTTGTGGATTTCCAAATCAAGTTGTAGGCTTTTCCATAAACAGCCCAGGCTTCTTGCCCCAGAGCTATTTTCACATGACGAATCTATCAGGCAGGGTGAACAGCAAGTGCCCGAATACTTTAACTTTGCAAGTGATGTGCTGGACAAATGGTCTCAGATGGAAAAGGTAAAATCTTTGTCATTGGGCAGATTAGAGATTTTATTTCTTTTTGAATAACTATTTTTGTCATTTATTTAAAAGACAAATCAGTTTCTGAAGATAATTTGCATTTGAAATTATCATGCTTCTCATGCTTTATCATTAGACGGGCTGGGTTCCTTGGGCTAAATCTTGTTCACTTTTCTCCCATCAAAGTCCTATTGGGACTCCTTGCATAGGTACAGCAGAAAGGTTAAGCAGGGCCGGCCCCCAACATTTTGGCACCTGAAGCGGGGAGCTCAAATGATGCCCCCAATACTCCCTCACTTGGGGCAAAACTTTGAAAGGTCTCAATTCTGCCTTCTTCCTGTTCTACTCCTCTCATGGTACTGCTCTGCAACCTACCCCAATAAAGGAGAACTTAACAACTTAAAATACCTTGTTCAAAAATTTTAAGTAACACTTAACTTTCAAATGCCTGAACAGCAAATGTAACTTTTCTTATCTGCATAGTAAACACTGGAATTTTTATCTGTTTGAATAATCAAAGTGGTGCTTTCCGTGCCTTCTTGGTTGCATAGATTTGAACTGCTTCCTGCTGAAGGTCCACAGTCTGGGCCAGCTCATGCTCTATTGAGATGGTTGCAAGGCCGACCAGCCTCTCCTGTGTCATTGTGGAGCGTAGATGTGGTTTTATTAACTTCAGCTTGGAGAAGCTTCACTGGCAACTGTTACAGGAAGTGTTAGAAGTATGCGCAGAGCAACAAAAGCATTTGAAAAGAGGGTGGTCAACTTATTTGTGCACATATATTCCAGAACAGCCTTTGGAGTTGATCCCGCTGAAATGTATCTTGAAAGGGCTTTCAGTTCATCACCTAAATCACTCGCATCAATATTGCGCATGTCGTCATGTGTCAACACTATCTCTAGTGCCCTGCATTGCTGGTGTAGGTCTTCTTTAGATATACTGAGGAGTTTTGGAATATCATACAACATCCCAAATAAACTGCTGTGTTCCTTGAGCTGCATGAAACGTTCAACTGACTGTATTGCACAATCTAGCACCTGGTTAAAGAATTCAACTTTGAATTGTTGTTTGGGGTCTCTTATGGGATTATCCCGTGCCTCGTAATCAAAATGTCGTCTTCTTCGGTGACGCTTGTATTCTTGAATGGGTGGCAAAATAGCTTCAGTCTGAAGGAAGGATTCCTCTACCAACTTCTGTGCACTCTTCAGAACATTTTGAAATCCCTCATCTGACCGGTAAGACTGTAGGTATGACTTTGCTTTGTCCAGTTGTTCCATTGCTCCAGATATATCAAGATCAACACCTTGGAGTCTCTTGCTTACAACATTTATTTCAAACAGTATGTCATGCCACAACACTAAGCCACACAGAAATTTGAAGTTATGAATGTTTCTGGTGATTCCAATTCCCTCTGCCACTGTTCTCCCACGAACAGTTCCTGTCATAGCATTATCCTCCATAATGGCAACTATGGCATCATCTATCTTCCCAATTTGGTGTTTGATAGGCTTTATCGCCTCCACTCGACTTTCCCATCGTGTGGCACTCAGTGGTTTCAGTGTCAGAGAGGATGTTCCTTCAAAATTTGCCATCGATGAGTTGATGCAGAGAAAAATACATAGATGCTTTGAATTACGTTAAAAAATTCAGCAGCCTCACTAGAAGCTGATGCTGCATCACTGACCACCAAGTTCAATGAATGAGAACTGCATGGGACAAAAAAAGCTCGAGGGTTTAGCTCTCGGATTCGTGTCTGCACTCCTCTGTTCTTTCCTCTCATGTTGGCACCATTATCATAGCCCTGACTTCTCATGTCAGCTATCACAATTCTCATATCTTCCAGCTTTTTAAGAAGCACATTTGTCATACCAGCTCCTGTAGTATCATCAATGTCAATAAATTCTAGAAAATGGCTCTCTGACAGTCACCATTGCAGTGACATTTTCACTAGGTTTTGTTGTTGTTACAAAACGCACCATTAATGTCATTTGTTCCATATGGCTGAAGTCAGGTGTGCAGTCCAGAATAACAGAGTAATATCTTGCTGTCTTCATATCTGCCACAATCTTCTGTTTGACTTTTGTTGCCAGTAACGGTATGATCTCATTTTGAATTGTTTTTCCAAGGTAGTGGTGTGTGTACATTCCTTGGGTGGTGACTCTTAGATGCTCCTGGAGTACAGCATCAAACTCAGCCATCAGCGCCACAATTTTAAGGAAGTTTCCATTGTTCAGCACATACAGCTGATCTGAAGTGCCATGCAGTGCTAGGTTTTGGGTAGCAACATTCTCACAATGGCAATGAGCCTTTTCAGAACATTTTGCCAATAAAGAGACTCTGATGCAATCTTCTCTTGATGCTGATCATCTATGGTGGCCTTTAACCTTAGTCTCATCCACCTGTGGAATGCTCTCTGGTGATGCCAGATTTCTAGCCAGATTTTTTCAGTCCTTTGTTCCTGTAGAACCTAAGGTGGCTGGAATGTTAGACTGGAAGAGTTTGCAACAAAAACTGTATGCAGCATTCTGGGTTTTTGAGTACCTAAGCTATCGCCTCTCCACTTTGTCACCATTGGGGATTTCACGCCAGTAATGTGTTGGGTGGAAACTTCTATTTTCATTGTCTTTGGGGAACATGAAGTTTTTCACTTGCTGTGGCCCATGCTGTACAAGGAAGTCCCTCAGGCTACTGATCAAGTGGGTCCACAGTCCTGGATCATCTAGACTTAAGGAACTAAACTCAGCAGCAGCTGTTTCTTGTGCCTCCACCACATTCTTCTCTGATCTACACTTTTTTTCAGGAATGTGCATGGTTACATCCATTTGAGATGGAGATATGGACGCTGCAGTAGCTGTCAGGTTACCTGCACTCTGACTGACTAACTGGAAGATCGGGCATCTCCTCACCACTAACATCCTCCCTGGGGCTGGAAGGCTCACCGTGAACATTTGTGTCTATGTATCTCAGGAGAGCTTCTTCCTGCTTAGATAGAAAAGCTTCCTTTGCTTGCTTGCTTTTTCTGAATGCTGCCCCAGAGGGGCGTTTTCTTCTTTCACTCATGACTGCTGTTCTGTGCCTGCTATAGTGACTCTCAACACTCAATTGAAGGGGACAAATAAGCAGGCTGGTAGCAGGGCCTGAGTGAGGGAAGATATCAGTGTCTTAAGGGCCTAACTGGCTCCTACTACTTCAGTTGACTGCCTGTTCTCCTCAAGTGGGTTCAGGGAAGCAGCAGGAAACAGGAAGCTCCCTGAGAAGCTGGTGTTAATGAGTCCAGGCTCCTGGGGGTGTTAGAGAGGTACATAAGAGGATCCTCCTCCTCCTCTCTCTCCCTGCAGCTCCTGCTACTTTCTGTTATTCCCTCTCACCTTTTCTCCTGCCTGCGTGTTATGTCTCTTGTGCCCTCCTTCCTCCAGCACAGCACTCCACCTTCTCTGTGCATCTAGAGCAGAGAGAATACATATGCACCAGCCGCGGACACAATTTTCTACACTCTGGGTCTTAGTGGCGCCTTCCCCCCCGCAAGTCTGGCACCTGAGGCGGCCGCCTCAGTTCACCTCATGGTAAGGCCAGCCCTGAGTTAAACCCTTTATTTACATAAAGTGAAATAATAAAGTCAAGGTGCTGTACAAAGTGACCGCACGTGACTGAGGGGAAATCTTTCCCCAAGGCACAGCTATCTCTCTCCAGAATAGATTCTAATACTGCACAGATCATCGTGAGGAAATCCTTATCATCAATCAGCTCCATTGCTCCTTTTTGTTCTGAGTCCATCATGCAGGAGACAGAATTGTTCCTCAGCATTCTCATGTCATTTCATTTCACCCTGTCGGTGTTACCATCATTTAATAGATTCCCCTGACTCTGTGCCCAGAAAAGGAGGCGTAACAGGTGAAGCATTTCATATCATCTGATATCTCATACGAGTGTTAATGCTGAGCATTAGAGACTTCAGGTGAAAGTCCGGACTAGAGACTAGAGACAGTTGATCTGTTAAACTCTGAGGGCTCAGAAAAAGTAAAAGATTACTGGAAATAATTGGGGCTGATCCAAAGCTATGCGAGGTCAACAAGAGTTTTTCCAATGACTTAAATTGGCTTTGGATGATTCCCAATGTGCACGCCATGGGATATACAGATCCACAGCAAACTCATTGATAAATGCACATCACAAGTTTGATTGGCATTTGAAATGATCCTTTTTCTTTTAACCCTTGTGCTGTTTTGTAGGATGGAAAGAGATCATCAAACCCAGCCTTCTGGTGGGTAAATGGAAGAGGAAATGAAGTGAGGTGGAGCTTTGAGGAGCTGGGATTCCACTCCAGAAAAGTGGCCAATGTCCTCTCTGATATATGTGGTCTGCAGAAGGGAGACAGAGTTATGCTGATTCTGCCCCGGATACCGGAATGGTGGCTGGTGAATGTGGCTTGTATGAGAACAGGTCAGTTTCAGATTGCTGAACTTGATAGATAGCTGAAAAATGTTAAGAACAGAAGTTTTAGTTTTTTTTCATAAAGAAGAAAACTATATACATTAATTAACTACTAAACAGTTTTTGCCAACCAATATAGATCCAAATTCATTTTTGGTATAAGTTGGGGAATAATTTTTGGGTATGTTCCCACACAGAAAATGATCAAATTAAAAATGTCCTCTTAAAAAGTAACCTTATTGCTCTTCCAGGAATCGTCCTCATGGTAGGGACCTCCCAATTAACAGCGAAAGACATTTTGTATAGACTCCAGGCTTCTAAGGCCAAGTGTATCATTACCAATGATATGGTGGCATCCACAGTGGACGCAGTTGCATCTGATTGCCAGTTTCTGAAAACCAAGTTAATTGTATCCGAAGGCAGAAGAGCTGGGTGGCTGAACTTTAATGAACTATACAAGTAAGTAGGCATTAGCAGTGCTACAATAACAGGATAGAAAATGCGGGTTTCTCAAAAGTACATTGTATCCATTAGACACAGAGTCAGGCATTAATGGAGTTTTTTGCAACAGCCTTGCTGATGTTTCCAAATCAGAGTTGCTTTTCTAACAGCAGTCTCTTTCCAGGTGGGTCCCATCCTATCCTTACTTAATGGGCGTTCTGTACATGAAATAGGGGCAGGAACTAAACCTAAGTTGTTTTTATCTAATTTGGTCAAACATGTCTATGGAATGATTGGCCCTTGGTGCTCATGTGGACATCTGCAAATCTCTTTCTTTTGAAAACTAGACTGGAAGTCTCACTGCAGAATTTATTGAGTATTCCTATCCTTCCAAATTCTAGCCTGGTCAGCTAGATCACAAGAATAACATTTCTAATAGTTCTTTGGAATCTCTGCTCCGATGTGGACCCAGGAAATAGACGCAATGTGATATTTTCTTTAAAGTTAATCCATTTTTTAAAATCTCAACATGTTTGGATTCAGTTTAGATCACATTTTGAACTTTTTTTTCTGAATGTGTTCTTCCATAGGTAGCTGCCTGATTTATACCCCAATTCCTCACCTCCTTCTTAGCTTTCTCAGATCCACTGAAGTGCAAGTGATGATGTGGTATCCACATCTCCCTTCTTGATTGTCCCACCAATATATCAATTTTTGCTTCCTACATGAAGCTTCCCTGGTGTCTTCCTTCTCTTTCTCCTTTAAGAAGAATCTACCATGCTGATTTCTCACTAACTTTTCTGTTTAATTATATTAACTGGATAGGATTTAATGCTGGATGAGAAATGAGACTAGAGTAAGGCAGGCTATCTGAAAGAAAGTCAGTGCTCTCATCCAGGGAGATGTAATATCCAAAGGACACAAGAGGAGCTTAATCTGGGATGGGAAAGAGGGCAGTTGCAACACCTAATCCACATTTGCATGCCAAAACCTCAGTAGATTGCACCTGTATCCACTTTAGCCACCATTATATTCTATATTTTAAAGAGCACAAACTGCTGATCACATCTGCGTTAAAACGAAGATTCAAGACCCAATGGTTATCTACTTTACCAGTGGAACCACAGGTTCTCCAAAGATGGTTGAACACTCCCAGGGCAGTCTTGGTTTCAGACCTGTCATAAGTGAAAGGTAAGGACTGTGGCTCTGGTAGTTTTATAACATGGAGCCAAACTGAGTGTGAAGTGGAAAGCATGAGTCTGGTTGACCAAGATAACTGAGATACACCAAAGGTCTGATTAAGAAGCATTGGGTAAGAAATATGCAATGTGTGGCTTCAATCCTGCTCCCTAATGATGTCACTGGCAAGACTCCCCCTGTCTACCAGGGAAGTGAGATCAGACCTCATCTTTCCATTTTGAATTAAGGAATGACTCCCAGCATTTCTTGAGAGGGATTCAGGTGACAGCCTACAACTGGAGATAACTCTAGAAGCACAGCTCCTATAGATACCATGTGCTTGGGGCTGCAGAGCATCTTGGGATTGGACAGCTGTGCAAAAGCAAGAGAACTCCATGACACAGATCACCTTTGCCCCCAGCACAACCACTGAGATCCATGAATTTAAAGAGTGGAATTCCCAGCCTCCTCCATAGAATCCTCCACTTCTTCCTCTACCACCTTACTCCCCCCCCCCCCCCCCCCCCCCCCCGCCAATGCAACAATGGAAGAACACAAAGGAAATTCACCCTGATTACATTCAGAGTCTCCACCTCCCCATTCCTGCAAAGAGAATGGAGCCCACAAGCTCGTCATGAGGCAATACCATCGTTAATGCTTATTGTGTATACACCTAGTTAAAGTTCTTGATTTCTAGTTCCATTGTCTATTAAAAAAAAAAAACTTTTCCGTAACCACTCTTTTCTCTTCATATCAGATACTGGCTGGATTTAACTCCTGAAGACATGATGTGGTGCTTATCAGATACAGGCTGGATAATAGCTTCACTGGGGTCTGTTCTTGATCCATGGGTTTTCGGGTCATGTGTCTTTGTACACAGCCTTCCACGGGTTGAATCAACAACTCTCCTAAATGTAAGAAAAAAGTCATCCTGTAGGTTTGTTGAAGTTTCCCCATGTGCAAGGTAGACCTCAAAACAAATCTTGAATTAACTGAGCAGCTCCTGTTAGGTTTTTTCACTTCAGGTCAATCAAAATGTTTTGTTTAAATTTTGACCTTTCCTCAACTTCTTTTTTAAGTCGGGAAATTCATCGAACGCGACACAGGTTCAGTTTAGACAAATCAGTATTTTTGACAAAATAATGATTAGTTGGAAAACTAACTCTAATCCTGAGGTCATTACTTACTCTTTATTCATAGCATTCCAGAACATGAATGTAAAGTAACACTCAACAGCTGTAGTAACTAGTGACATTTCAGGGGGGAAACACAAAAGAGAGCCAGAATGTTGGTACAGTTGATGTAGAGATAGTTTTTGATATCAGTGATTACAGTTGTTTGAAACTGGAGAAGGAGCTCTCTCTACACTGGCTAAGAAGGAGGGTGAGATTGGGGAGTGGACTTCCCCTCTGTTTTTAGCAGAGAAGGGGGAACTTTCTCCCCCACACACTCTCCCGTACTCCCTTAGCTAATGTCATCTTTGCTGCAGTTCACACATAAACTTTGTTCATCTTGTTGTTTTATTTCACTAGACTCTCTCCAGATTTCCCATCACCACTATCTTTGGTGCTCCGACTTTGTTCCGCATGCTGGTGCAGCATGATCTTACCAGGTACTTCAGGAGAGAGATGACTTACTAACAATACTCACCTGAATAAATTTTAATGAAATCACAGCTCTAGGTGCTTGGCACAATATATTGAGTTTCATCAGTATAACCAGCATCTTCTGAAAAGATAGTTATGAGAAATGCATGGGGTTTGCATAATTTCATTATGAAAGATGGAGGAAACAGCATTTTCAACTGTTTCTCTCCAAAATTTGGGGGGGTCACTCAAAGCTGACATTCTTAGCAAAACTCGAAGGGGCTGAAGCCAAGTGCATCAAACCCAGAAACAATGTTCTCATGAACCCATGTAGAGGTGCTCAGATTCCGTGGTGATGGGTGACCTTCTGAAAACTTAAGTAGACCTAGCTGGTGTGTCAAGTTTTACATGGTGTCAGAAACACTAGTTAGTGCGATGACTTCAGTGCTGGAAATACAACCCTCCAAAGATGGTCCTTCTGCACATGACGTAGTTTAATCATGAGGTGGCAGGACTCACAAGAAATCTTTTGTACTGAATTTTGCTGAATACTAGCAAAATTCTCTACCATAAATTTCAGTTACCAAAGGATTTTGTTTTTCATACCTTAGCGATGTGTTTTTCATAATGGCCCATTCATGTGACTGTAACTGAGTAGGAATGTGAGCTGACTTCAGTGGGACTACTGTACAAAGTTTAGCATAGGCATATGTCCTTGCAGAATCAGGAGCTAAAGTAGCTGAAATCTCTTCCTCTGATTTCTGTACTCGAGTGAAGATAACTCTTTCAACTAAGAGCTTTCCATTATTGTTTGTTGACATTTGCAAGCCCTTTAGCTGCTGTGCTTATCACCAATAGCCACTGGAATCCAGCGACAGGCCCCTTTGCCCTCAATGGCCTTTCAGTGACTCTCATGATTTTTTAAATCCCTATTAAGTTACAAGTTCATGAGTTTGCAGCACTGTGTGAGTGGAGGGGAGCAACTCAACCCAGAAGTGATCGAGCAGTGGAAAAGGAAGACTGGCCTGACTATCTATGAAGTATATGGACAAACAGAAACAGTATGTTCAAATGGGTTAATAATGTGTTAATTAGTTTTAATTTCTTTTGCTTTTTTGAGTTGCATGGTTAAAAAAGCCAAAAGGAAACCATTTGTTACTTACTTGAAATGTCAAGGAAGAGTCCATTAAAATACAGTAACTTATAAATTTATGTTGATTTGGAAACATGGCTATCTTGTAGAGCTCAGGGAAAAGGTGGAGTTTTTTGTGCTTTCATTTTTCCATAAAGATTTCTGAGAAAATCCTGAGTGAAGTGATAGGGAAGAAGGAGGATGTTGTTGCTAAGATATAGGACTTGGGGTCAAGATACCTGGACTCTTTTACAGGTTGTTTCACAGACTTGCTGTGTGACCTCATGCAAGTTACTCCACTGTCCCAATCTTTAAAATACTTGCCTAGCCCACAGGGTTTTTGTAACCCTTAATTCATAGCAGTTTGGAATTGAAGTGGAAAATTAATGAATGTAGAACCTGACTGAATATATGTAATATTTCTGCAGAAATAAAACTCTCTTTTTACAGGGAGTAGTTTGTTCCGTTTTCAAAGGGATGAAGATTAAACCCGGATCAATGGGAAAGGCAGTTCCCCTTTATGATGTTCAGGTTTGTTAATACAACTTCCTGTCTTATATCAGTTTAAGTTATTTGCTTTACTGAAGTATGTTTTTCTTCTTCTAGATCATCGATGAGAATGCTAATGTTCTGCTTTCTGGACAAGAAGGGGAAATTGCCATCAGAATCAAACCTAAAAGGCCACTTGGTCTTTTCTCTAAGTACATAGTAAGAAACCTGTTTTACCACCATAGGAAATCCCTATAATTCCATACTAGATACAAAGACCCAGATTTTCATCAGATTTTATGCCTACTCACCAATCTCAAGGTCATGCACTGTACTAACAGTCCTCCCAACTAAGGAGACTCTGAAGGAACTCTCTTCAAAGTAGAGATGGGACCCAAGATAAAAGAATCTAGATCCAGATTTCAATCATCTCAACATTTTGAGGTGTTTGGATCCAGGGTTTTGGTTCATTACCTTTTAAAACTGGGCTCTGAAAGTCAAGCTGACGTTCCATCTAGCACATCCTCACCAATGACCCTGACTGCACTGAGTATTATATGTGTAATGTGCATTATTTGTGCACTTATAATGCACCTCCGTGTGGATATAAATCTAAAATTTTGAGCAGGTGATGAGGACATCTAGAAACCTAGACTTCCTTTCCTGACTGTGCCACCACCTTGCTGTGTGACCTAGATAAATAAAATATGTAAATAAAGGCTGTAGCAGAGCATGCCTCCCTATGTGTCCTGGAGAATTCAAGGAGGAATTTGGAAGCAGAATGCCCCCTGGGTCTCCTCCTTTACTATGGACTATATGTATATCTAATTCTGAACCTCTGTCTGAACCTTTCCCCGTCAATGAGGTGGAGTTTAGAATACCCACTTTTGTACAACTCTTTGAGATTCTGTTACCAAAGATGCTATTTAAAGACAAAGGATTATTATTTATTTGTCTTTCATTGCTATACATTAATATGCTATACAGGGCTGATCCCTTTACAGTTGTGTGTAAAACAGCAGAATTTATGATTAAACTACACTAAAGATTTTAATTGTCATTTGTGAAATGTTATCAGGATAACCCTGAGAAAACCGCTTCATCAGAACGTGGAAATTTTTTTGTCACGGGGGACAGAGCGACTATGGATGAAGAAGGATATTTCTGGTTTCTTGGAAGATCTGATGATGTCATCAATTCTTCAGGGTTAGTTTGTTTTACTGGTTTTGCAAGCTTTCTGTATAGTTCTATCATCATATAACATTTATAAGAGAGGAACTGGTGATGAGTTTCTTGGCAGGAAGGAACTTACAAGGGGACTTACAAATGAATCAGACATAGTCTTATTCCGGTAGCATGGTTCAGTGACTAGTGCATTGGACTAGGACTCAGGAGAGCTGGATTCTATCCTTGGCTCTGCCGCTGCCCTGCCGTGTAACCTTGGTGAAGTCAGTTCCTGCCTCTGTTTCTCCTGCCACCCTTTGTCTGTCTGTTTAGATTGTAAGCTCTTGGAGGAGGGAGTTTTTGCAGCACGCCTCGCACAACGTGGGTCTGATTTTGGTTGGGGCCTTAGGCAATAATCAGGTCTTTCTTACCCCAGTACTGGTTAAAAGACATATTCACACCAGATCAGTATAATTAAATACCTCATTTTCCTCCCCTAGGTATCGTATTGGACCATTTGAAGTAGAGAATGCCTTGCTAGAGCACCCAGCTGTAGTAGAATCTGCTGCTGTCAGCAGCCCAGACCCCCTCAGAGGCGAGGTAATGAGGTTGGGAGTGATGAGGAAAATATTTCAAGGAGGCAAAACGGTTTGTGATTCACTGTACAAAGTGCAGCTGTTGCACAGCATCACGGCAGTGTGACTAGTCCTTTACCAGGGTGATAAACAGAACCCTATGTACATTCCTTTGCTCTATTTATTCATCTCCACAGTCTCTCCCCACGAGATAATTATGATGACAGACACTTTCCCATCAATAGACCTTCCTGCTGTTAAGGACTTGTCAACACACACAAGTTGTAACGTTTTACAGTACTGGTATAGTTAGAGCAGTACAGCACCCTTTGTGTGGATGCAGTTACTGGTAGAAATGTGCTGATATCGGTACAGCTATTCCCATACTGGAAGGGGAACAAGCTATACTGGTACAGGGCAACTTTATACTGGTATAATTGTATCCATACTAGTGGTTACATTGGAAAAAAAAAATCACACCGCGCATCAGCATAGTTATACCAGGACAAAAACTGTGTGCAGACATGGCGTAAGAGTGCCTTGAAAGCACAGTCCTGCCATTGTGGAGTGGAACTGTACTGCCTCAGTGTGAGTTGTGTGACCAATGCATGCTCAGTGCTTCAGAAAAATCAAAGCTTCCTGAAGCTCCCGCAGAGCACAGTCACTGCAATCCCCCTTCCATGTGCTCCTTCCTCAGCCCGACCAGCTCTCCTGCTTAGTGTGTGTGATGGGGGAAGCGAGGCCATGGTCATGCTTTCTACCTGGCGTGGCCAGCTTTGGAGATGGTGGGAGCATGAGCCAGGAGCAACTATTGTGATTGTGAGAACTACAATTGCACGTGAACCCTGCACTGCTGTGAAGGGCAGAGGGGACAGTCCTTGCACCCCTCCTCTCACTTACCTGCCTACACACACGCTGGTCACAGGCTGGCACTCAATTTTAGAGACAGACTGGCTTCTTCACACATCTCTTAACTATCTCGTGGTCTGGGAGGGATATTGCTAACTGGGAACTAAATCTAACAATATTTATTTATAAATTGCTGGTGTCAGTTTGGTACTATTGATTTTACCCTGTAGGTGGTGAAAGCTTTTGTGGTCTTGTCACCTGCCTTTTCCTCGTGTGACCTGGAAAAATTAACGCTTGAGTTGCAGGAGCATGTCAAGAAAGTTACCGCTCCATACAAATATCCCAGAAAGGCAAGTACTCCCAAGGGGTGATTTTTAACATGGGACATGTCTCCTTCTTAAATCTCTCCAGAATGAACCATTCTGGGTTTACTTAGAATGACAGAGATTCCTTCACTCATCTAAAAGAGAGAGATCAAGATTTAGAGAGACCATTTGGTTCAGGGAAACTTTTCTAAATCTCATTTATTTTCTCTTTCATAAGTTTTTAATAAAATTGTTTGTTAATAAATGTACCCCTGTACCTTTAAAAATATTCCTGGGCCAGGTAGAATGTCCTAGTTAGATACTCCCCATGTTCCAAACCAGGGGTAAAATCATCAGCTTCTTACTTAGCTTTTACTTACTCAGGAACACTCCAGTGATGTCAGTGGAAATTTGCCTGATTGAAAATTGATGAACGATTTGTCCCTTTGGCTTTGGAGTAAACATATTAGCGACAGCCCCAGAAGTATCCATCTTAGGTTTCTTACGAAACCCAGTGCATCTTGGGAAACTGTATGTGCAATCAATTAGGGTACCTCTACATGTACAAAACTGCAGCGGCACAGCTGTACCTATGCAGGCAGCTGTGCTGCTGCAGCGCATTAAGTGAAGACGCTCTATGCTGACAGGAAAGAGCTCTCCCATCGGCATAATAAAAACACCTCCATGAATGGCAGAAGCTATGTCGGTGGGAAGAGCTCTCCTGCCAACATAACACTGTGCACACAAGCGCTTGTCGGTTTAACTTATGTTACTCAGGAGGTGGTTTATTCACACCTCTGAGTGACATAAGTTATGCCGACAAGCTGTAGTGTAGATATAGTCTTAGTTAGTGCCTGATTCTGGAAACTGTCAGGCAAGTAGCCCTGACTCATGTGAGTCCTCCCATTCTTCCACATGGGGTCAGAGCCACCATTGCAAAAAAATCCCAAAACATCACTGGGAAGCATACTAAGTTGTTTTGTGTTTTTTATTAGATGGAATTTGTCCAACAGCTACCGAAGACAATCACCGGGAAAATCAAGAGGGACGAGTTAAGGAACAAAGAATGGGGAAAAATGTAACATTGTTGGGAGTTTAACATAGCTTCTTTCACTCCAGTGATGCCATGCAAGCTGTAACAGTTCTCAGGGTGCCCCGAACTGTGTTACCTTGTTCTCCCCCTCTTCCCCCCCCCCATACCGCCAGCGAGAGAGAGACTTGCTGGTGCTTAACCAGTTTTAGTCACCCAAACAATCTCAAGGCAATGCAGATTAACAATAGGTGCACCCTAGTCCCCGAACCACCTTTGAAGTGTTCCCCTGTGATAGCCAGGCTGACCGCGATGGTCTCTAGATAATACTTAGTGCTGCCCCGCATGCAAGGGACTGGACTAGATGAGCTCTCAAGGTCCCTTCTAGTGTTACGATTTTATGATTCTGAGCTGCTGTTACAGAAATAGTGAACCATTTGCTAGTTGGCATTGAGAGGTTCTTAGGGTGTCACAAGCGTCTCTGTGTTATAATTGCCTTTTTTCTGTTGGATTTTTCCAATATCATGAGCACCTAGATTACCTGGAAAATTGAACAGAAGGACCCAAGCTGCAAAATTGAATCCTATGATGAACCCAAGCTGCAAAGTTCAGATCTGGTTGCAAAACCAAACTTTCCCAAATGTGGTTTCAATTTCAAGCATTTTATTGATAGGGGCCAGCAGCAGAGTTCTGATCTAAACCTGAACTTTCCCAAAATCAATTGTGTTCAGATCCAGGATTTGGCTGTGTTGCATCTATGTTCTGGAAAGTATCTGAGATCAGTGAGACAGTGTTGCAAGTTGCAGAAAGATACAGAGATGTCCATTAGAAGTTAAAATGATTTACCTTATCCGAACTATAGACCAGGGCCGAGGGATGTACTGACCACTGTTTCCAGCAGTGCCCATTGGCCTGGAGCAGGGAAACACGGCCAGTGGGAGCCGCGATCGGCCGAACCTGCAGACACGGCAGGTAAACAAACCGGCCCGGCCCACCAGGGGCTTTCCCTACACAAGCGGCTTCCCAAGTTTGGGAAACACTGCTATAGACCAATACATCCAGCCCTGTGAAAACAGAAAGGCCTTCGACTGATAACACCTCCAGACACCACAATTTAATAAACGCACAACTGACAATGGGGGCCATCTGATACCATGGCCACGCTTTATCAACAAGCACTACCCAATACAGAGGCAATCAGCCTAGGTTTGGCTCCCCAGCCTCACTTCTAATTTTGGCCAGGAATAGAGAAAATACTTGTATCACCTCTGCAAGTCACTGAGAAAGAGGTCTGAACTGCTTGTTGTTGTACAGGTGAAACCCAGTCAGGTTGAACAAACCCAGGTTCTCTGCCATTTTACCCACATGTGGCAGGACAAGCCCACCACTGGGCTCTTTAATGTAATAGTCATCTAGATCATATTACTGGTCAATGAACAGACTTTCTGAATGTCCTACATGGCTTACTATGTGGGATTATGTCTCCCTTTAGCAACTAGCCCCATGGTCCTATAATGTTGTGGCTGTGGGCATATGGCCACAGTTTGTTACAGTAGCATGTGCTGTAGAGTGCTGAGTTCTAAGTACGTACCAATTCTTAACTCTTCATCACCAAGTGTTGCGCTTTGCCCACTCAAGAAAGCTTAATTTTCTGGCATGTGATCTTTCTGTAGAGCTCAAAATGTCTTTGACAGTCAGCTGTCGTCCTCCATTCACTAAACAGCAAGACATTTTTAGAGAGCAGCACCTTCTTGGGGACTGAGAGAAAAGCTTTTACACTCAGCATCCCTAGAAGTGTGTGTGTCACCCCTCTGCAGCTGGATTTTTGTGATTATAAAACAAGATTTGGAATGGACTATTTAGAGCAATGAAAAACATTTATTTGCTAGGAATAAACACTTGTCTGTGCCAATGAAATAATTTCTGTGCTAAAGACTGCTGCAATGAATGCAAAAGAAGTTCAATAAACACAATATTTACTTTGCCCCCTGTTTTTGGTGATGGTTTATTTTTTAAATGTACATCAGTGTGTCAAAGATTTTAAAATACTGTTCACTTATCTTCCTCCAATAGCATTTCAGATACATATGTTACAGCCAGTCAAACTAATCATTCCTCTCAACTACCCAGTTGTCTTCCTTTTCTTTTTCTCCAGGTGCCTTGAATGCCTCAAACTCCCTTCTCTATTCCCAGCTGAATCCCCTTGAATCTAGCTTCTGAGGCTTGCGTACTCCCAGAACATCTTTAACCGAGGTCACCTTCTCCTGGCCAAGTCCAAGGACTCCTCCTTGATCTCTCTGCCACTTTCAACACAACTGATCACTCCCTCCTGAATTCTAGCTTCTCTTTCTCTCCTTACTGATGCAAAGCCTCCTACAGCATTTTCAATGGTTCCACCTCCTTCCCTCTGTTTGACATCTTGCAAATCTCTCCACTCAGTTCTCTTCTCCTTTTCTCTGACACTATCTCTGGGTGACATCATCTGCACTCATGGTTGATGACTCCCAAACCTACCTCTCAATACTCCTTTCCTCCTCTGTGCAATCTCTCATCTATCTCCATTTGACTTTCCAGCAGGTCAGCCTGCCTGTCATAGTTGCAGTTCAAACTAAGGCTATCTCTACATAGCAGCTGAGAGAGTGCTTCCCAGAGCATGTAGACAGGCACTAGCTCTGCTCCAGCTAGAATGCTAAAAATAGCAGCATGGCAGCGGCAGCAGCTCAAGCTAGCTGCCCTAGTATGTACCTACAGGGTCAGGCAGGATTGTACTTGAGGGAGGCTAGCTCAAACCACTGCCCGTGCCACTGTGGCCAATGTTATTTTTAGTGCACTAACTCAGTCAGAGCTATCAGATGTCTGTCTATGAGTGCGGGGAAGCACCCTCCCAGCTAGTATGTAGATATACCCTCTACCTGCCAAAATCAATCTCCCCATCTTCCCCTTCAAACTGGCTCCTCTCCTTCCAGTCTCCATTACCACAATAAACTCCACCAGTCTCCTCCTCAGTTTTTATCTTTGGTGCTGTAGTCAGGAGGGGTCACTCTCTCTCAATTCCAGGGATATTCTAGGAGCCAGCCCCTTGAACCCCACAATATGTGCACGCACACAGAGCGGTAGGAGTAGGAAACATTCTCTTTCCCATTGCAATGGCTCTGCACTAAGCTGCAATGAGCTATTGTGCTAGGCCCCATGAGGCCTAGCACAATAGCTAGGGAACCCCTAACTGCATTAGGAAGTGGAAAACTAATTCCTAGGTCCCCCAGGGAAACCTTGGGATTGAAGAGGGTAGTAGCCCTGCTCAACATGCCTGCTGACAACACAATGGTTTCTCTTCTCCCCTCCTCCCCCAATCCCATGGGTCTTTTGGGAGCACCAGCTGGCTGTTCTCCTCCATTTTGTTCTGTCAGGGGGCATGCTGAGACAGGCTACTACCCTCTCCAATATCAAGGGCAGGAATTCTGAACACTTGAGTTCTATTCATGGCTCTGCCATTCAGCTGTTATATGGCAAAGTAACTCAAGCCACATTTTCAAAATTTGGCACAAAATTCAGCACCTGCATCCAGATTCGGGCTCCTAAATAAGGTTAAGATAGGAACTTGAAAGAGTTAGGGTGAAATTCTGCCCCACTGACATCAATGGGAGTTTTGCAGTCAACTTCAGTGGAGCCAGGATTCATTTAGTTTGCTGATTATCCAGACTCTAATCCACTCTGTTAAATATAAAGAGCTATCATTTTATTTTTTGCAAGCTTGAACTATGGAACTGCCCCCACTATTACCCTGTAAGAGTGCAGACTCAACCCTGCAGCACCTCCTGCTGGTCATCCATGGGAATTAGCTCTACCAGCCTTGGAGCGCCCTCTGCTGGCCGGTGATCCGCCTCACCACTTGGCCCCCGATGTCCCTCCCAGACCTGGTGTCCCTTTATCTGGGGGCTGCCCCCTGGCAGTAACCCCTTTCTCTTGGGGTCTCCCCTCCCCAGGGAACCCCCACCCACTAACCCCACCTTGCC